TTTCTTTGTCCAGTGGAAACCGTAACCTAATGACCTTTGTTCTCTCATAGCATTGGTCGGCTGTTACATCCAGTGAACATCATAATCGACCAGTAAAAAATATTACAATACTAATCCTTTTAACCCAGATGCTTTATATTACTGAATATCTTCTCTGGCAGAAGAGACATCATTTGCTACAGAGAACTAAGAAACGAAGCAATTACAACAAGATAACCTTAACAACTTTCTGGACCACGTGTTCCCGCCATTATTTCATGGAAATTAAATAACCAAATAAATTTAAAATCTCTATATCACTACAGCAGGTAGAAAACACAAGATATACCTGCATATCACATTAGTTCTCGCCAACATTTTTTTTATTAAGGTTACAATCCTATTATTCGGCTTTTTTATACATTTAATTCATATAATTTGGAGAAGTAAAAGTAGAGATAAGTAGACATACATCTAATTATTAAACTGAATTAGTATTTACTGTGTTTATTATGCCTCAACTAGCAGTTTTTTATAACCTGTAGAACTCAAAGTTTCAATGTATTATTTAATGATATGATAACTCTTTCACATAATTTCAATCCTATTAGGTCAAATCATACCGATTAAATTGATTATGGTGCTGAGTAACTACCTAAACCTAATGATTCTTTAATAAAGTATGTAAATAAATATATATGCATACCGAGTATTTTTATTCGGGTTCGATATAGAACTAATGATTTTAATTGTGGTTTTTACAGATGTGATTTTCTGTGTTCGTTTTAACTGTTATTTTTGTGGTCGGTGGTATTACAGTTTGTTTAAGCAGGCCAACTAAGATTGGTTTGTTTGTTTTGAATTTCGCGCAAAGCTACACGAGGGCTATCTGTCTCTAACTGGTGAAAAACTAGAAGGAAGGGAGCCACCGCCAGCTTTTGAGCTACTCTTACCAACGAATAATGGGATTGACCGTCATATTGTAATGCTCCCACGGCTGAAACAGCGAACATAATTGGTGGGACGAGGATTCGAACCAGCTACCTGCAACTGACAAAGATACATAAGAACTAACGCAGAAACTTTAAATGATGTGATTAATGTTGCCAAGTCCGCTATTAATAAGCGGAGTTGAGCTTGTTTTACTCTGAGTTCGTTTATATGGGCTTTTCTAAAGTATCTGACTTCAACACATAATAAAATGGTTGAAGGAGTGGTTTCGGTGTTTGACTGGGTTAATTAATAGCCTACACATTGCCATGATTTTAGAATCATCCTACCTCCACTACTATTCAATTAAAAAACACATCCAAAATTTGTGCCGCACAAATCGCCTTTTTGAAAATAAGCCACAAAACAGCAGTTTTGAACGCCAATGCCGCTTATTTTTCTTGCGAGACTTTTTAACAACGTGTTACGTTTTTAATAAATATTTTTAAGTGAAACATGGACGAACCACGAATTTTTAAGCGCTTTCCAATGCTAATATCTTTGGCATTTCGTATTTGATAGATTACTGGATTTGGAGTAAGTATAGTTACGCTACTGGACATTTCGTACAAGAATTAAAGCAGGTTTAGTTGGTTCGATAATTTTAGTAGTAGTGGTGGTGTTCAATGATAACTTTGTTTGAAAAGTGCAATAAATAAATAAGTAAAAAATATTTTAATACCTTAACACCACTACTGTCTTCTGGTGGGACAGTGGTATGTTTACGGACTTATAACGCTAGAATTCAGGGTTCGATAACCCAAGGTGGCTTTACTCTAAAAAACATACTGAAAACCATTACGTGTATAACTTCTCTCGCTGTGGTAATATTGAGCAATGCATTTACTTATTTCTTATGTTGTATACTGTTTTTAACTGTGTGTCATATGCAAAGCATATTTAATGTTTTCTTTAGTTTAATTTGATAAGGTAAGCGTTTCACGTTAACCTAGATTTTTCAAACATTTTCGCACATACAAATTCTAATCTTGACTAGTTTCGACACCAGAACGTTGGTCAGGAAAAATGGCTAAATTCCTTTCGCTCTTGATACATATTTTTCTGGGTTATTCCCCCATGATATCACTCGTGTTTCCACGTGGGAAGACCACACAAGTTTCCAATGACAGATCAAGTGATGCCTTGAGCCGGTATTTTTCTGTTGGAATTACCAGTGTTGACGTGTTGGCGCATACGCATTAAAAGGTGGTGACTTTATAGAATCTTGTATATAACGTTATGCTCTCTTAGTCAAGAATAAGTCAATTAATAAGTAAACAAATTAAATAACCAATGTAAATGCCGTCTATTCAGTTTGTGTACTCTTTTAGGTCCTTTATTGTTTTTGTTGCTAATAAAATATTACTTTTCACTTTGATTTTACATTGTCTGGACTCTTTCTTCAAACTCAGTCAAAAAATTCAAATTTAAATCCATGGCACTTTTCCTGGTATTTTTCCTTTGTGGTTACTACACTTATCTCTAAGGTTACCAGCGCACTAGAGAAAATTACTTCATTGATCTTTCTTTTCACAGCCGTTTATAACTGCTCTCTTGTAATTTGTTCTATAGAAAAAAAGTTTTTCTTAACTGTGGTGCCCATTTCTCAATTGAAATATCGAAACCAAATTACACTGGTAATAATATATATATAATAGACTAGCTGGAGTACCCGTCTCTTGGACGGAAGTGTTGTGTATATTCATGATTAATGAAAGGTTATCTTAAGACATGAAAAGTTGCTTCCCTTGTATGAAATTGTAAAAAACGCAAAAATGCGCATAAAAACTGCAAAACAGAAAATGTGAAACCGCAAGTTTGCATGTATCTTCGCATGGATCCAATGAACCTCCATACCAATTTTGGTGAAGATCTATCTACACCCAGTGAAGTAGTTACATGGACATACAACAGACAGTATTATTATATTTATATAGATATACATACAAACTTTTGTTACTTACTGAACTCTAGAAAAGTCTTATCTGTTAACGAATAAAATTTGTAATTTTAAACATTACAGTTTAAAAGTGGGACTACTTTCTTTATCTGGATATTAATCAATTCAACATAAACATTTATGCTAAGAAAACTTTGTGAAAGTTATACTTATAGCCACCAGATGGTGCGACACATCAAACTGGCTTTAAAATAATTATCATTCGGGACTGGATGAACTGCTCTTTTAATCTTCACACTTAAATGAAAGAATTATATTAGGACATGCGCCAGATTTACCAGTTGTAGTTGATGATCACAGAATTATGTCATAAAAATAAAGAACTGTAAGAATGATGGTGTTTAATGGTACATTTTAAGCAACATTCATTCTATGTATAGTATAGGTAATGTTAAACGCGATCTGCAGTCTAATTGATAAGCCTATTTTTAATATAATTATATTGCATCTTAACACACTGCCAATATTAAGTACGATAATGAATTACTACTTATCTGAATAGAGCTGGGCATTTAACTTGATTACCCATGAGCATTGATTATATATTAATCAGTGTCATGTAAAATAATTCATTAATCAAAATTAGTGTTTCTCACTATTCCACTTAGTCAAAACACTTCCGTTACGATTTTTTTTTTATTAATTCAAGGTTAAGCCTAATTGATTGGCATCGTGACTCACAAAAAATGATAAACTATTCGAAATTAATTTCCAAATGTTATTATTTCCACTATTAAAATCTCATGTGAGAGCAATCAGTTAGTTGAAGTTAAATGACCAATAATTGTAAATTTCCACTCAAAACTCCGCTCTATCATTACTGATATGAACTCAAGTTAATCTTAAATAACATGGTATAAAACTATATCTTGTTTAAAGTATTCATTTTTCACATTGAATTAAATAATTAAATTTTAAAGGATAAACTGAAGATGAAATATAAAACATGAGTAATTACTATTACAATTGTACAATAGACCATATTTGGGTATTATTTAAGACAAATGAAATGTTATTTTAATGCACAAAAAAATGTTATACCACTCAATGTTTCGATTAAATTATGATCTCCAATTAAAAATAGCATTAAAAATTTAAACAAATGTTTGTTGCGTTAGGCTCAAACATAATTCTTCTGGTTAGTATTATACCAAAAACAGTGTTGAAAGTTTTCAGAAACCAAATTTGATATATGCATAGGCTAAATAGCTAGGACAAACAATCCTATCGTTCAAGTATAGCAACCCCTTAATTTAGAATAGCTGACCACTAGAGGGAGGAAAATCAGTAACAGCACCCACCACTTACACTTAACTGATTAAAAGAACTGACTATGACTTTTATAACACACACCTACAGCTGAAAGTACATAGTTTGTTCAATGACATGATACAGACACAACTCTTCCAATCCACTCTCTGGTAAACTGGCCATCAGGACACACCTAGCCCAGATTCAAATTATCAAAAAATATGTGTATTTGTTAGTCTTTGATACAGTTTATAGCTTATGCATGCTTATTAATCTTATGACCAAGGCATTTCATTAAATTCCTAGATGACCTTTAATACAGGGGATATGGAGCTGTATAGTTTCAGATAGATTTTTGATGACTTGTGTAAAAAAAACTTGGGGGAATTTTCTACAGATAATACAATATAAAAAGTAAATTTGATTATTTAAAATTGATTCTTGACAAACATGTATTTTAGTGAAATAAAATGTCAGTCTCCCATCTTGCAACATGTGAGGCTAGAAGACAGGGTATGTACCATGCTTAAAAAGTTACTATTAATAGAAAGATGCATATATTCTGACATGAGTTTATGAAAAAATATTACCAGTAACTGAAGTACATTATTTATATGATTTAGTAATGATATTTTAACACATTTTAAAATATTGAAAACGTTAAATGAAAATCATATATTAGACTTGTTCAAGTTTTTCAATATGCAGATGAAAAAGAGAGAAAAAAAAAGGACTTTTGCAAACATGTCTTCTTGCTGAGTTTAAAAAAACAAAAAACATCGAGTTTCCAATATCAAAAAAATAATTCACAACTACCAACTTGAATGTTTACTACTTCAATGTCACATTTATAATCCTTACATCCTCATATGGCTTGTCAGTTTTAGGATGAGTTTTTACTTTGCTAATATTTTGAGCAACTTCCATACCCCTTATCACACGACCAAACACTGTGTGTTTATTGTCAAGCCATGGAGTGGGGATTACTGTGATGAAGAACTGAGAGCCATTTGTGTTTGGTCCTGCATTAGCCATACTTAAAGTATATGGTCGATCGTGACGAAGGGCTGGATGAAACTCATCTTCAAATTCTCCTCCCCAGATACTCTCACCTCCTGATCCAGTTCCAGTAGGATCACCGGTCTGAATCATGAAGCCTTTAATAACTCGATGAAAGATATGGCCGTCGTAGTAGCCATTTTTGCTGTGAATACAAAAGTTTTCTATTGTTTTAGGACACTCCTTTGCAAAAAGCTTACAGTGAATGTCACCCATTGTAGTATGGATAGTGCATGTCTCAAATATACGCTGCTGTCCTGATGCTTCTGTAGCAGCAATTATATCTTCCTTGGAAGGCTTTTCATTGAAAATGTCCCTCTCTGCATCTACTCCTTTAGTATCTTCAGGCTCCCTTCGGCTGAAGATATAGAACCTGTTTTTTTTAAACCCACTACAAAAAATTGTTGGATCTGGTATAACTTTTTCCAATGTTGGATTTTCAGAAGCCTTCATTTCAAGTGTAACAACAGCTTTAGATTTGTTAGGTATCCCCTGGTATAGTGCTAACTGCAAGGGTCGAATACTTTCATTTTTACCCAAAATCCTAACACAGCGATTTGTTTTAACATTAAGAATTTTAATGCCCAGCAAAGTTGAATAAAGAAGAAAATATCCACTTTCATCAAACGTAATGTTAGCGAGGCCAAAGGCATCCGATTTTTCCAAATCTCTTTCCAATGCCATTCTTCGACCAAATTCCATATTTGGCAACAGTTGTTGCATCTGCTGTAATTCAGATAGCATCTGTAATGTTTCATCAAAGACTCGAATCAGCTTTCCTGTGAGAAACCTAAAAATTCGTACCTTCCTGTCCATGGATAACATTGCAAATAGTTGGCCATTAGGTGAAAATGCCAAGCCTGTTGGACAGGTTTTACATTTTGCTAATTCATATAAATCTGTGTCCAATTTAGATGTGAATTTAACCACTTTAGGAAACTTGAAATCATATTTTGGCCCTGTCCAATATTCCAACACACCATTTCTGTCAACAGAAACCACTGTTTCAAAAACTGGATTATACTTCATTAACACTAATGGAGCTGTATGGATTCTTTCTAGTGTGTGAAGTGGAGTATTATCACCTCGGCCATCAAAAATGTGGATTCGCGTAGATTCTTTTTCAGAAACAGCTAGTGCTGCAATGGGGTCTCCTGCATTGTGTACCCACTCACATCGCCCAGGGACAAAGGACAGTTTCATCATGTTAATCATATCAAAATTTACCACATCAAACACTTTCAAAGACTTATCATTTGAAACTGAACAAAACAATGTACCTGTCAAGTTGGCTGTCACGTCCTGTACATTACCCAGGTGAGTTCTGAAATGTTTAACAAACTCGATACCTTGTTCTTCTTTCTTCCAAAACTTCACATGCCCGTCGCAACTAGCGGTAATGATAAAATCCGTAGGAGTGGAAACGACGTGAGTAATCACATCACGGTGCATGTAACTTTTTTCGTAAGACTCTGCACATGGAAGGTTATCTAAGTAAACATTCTCAAACTCTAAAACTTTCACTTTCTTTGGCTTCACAGCTTCGGAAGGTAAAGGACCAATCCATTCTTCGTCAGTAGTTTGATTTTCCAGCTCTTCTACACACTCACTCTTTCTTTTCTCCGCCATGATTATTAGTAGTAATTTTCTGCCACCAGGGCAGCAAAAATAAAAATTACAAATATGTCGAGCAAAAACAAAAAACTTTCTCTTTCATCGGAAGTTCGACTTGTAGATAAGTACATTAGAAAATTGCTAATCATGGTGTAAATTCAAAAGAAAAATAAAAGCATAGTGTTAACACTTTGTCTTTACGTACGATTTAATTTTCTATAAAATTTTATTTATCCTCCCTTATTTACCTGTATATATGTTTGTTGCATAGACTAAAGGAATGTTTGTTTTTAAGCGCAAAGCTACACAAGTGGGCTTCAAGCCTCGATTTTTATGTCTTATGTTAGACTAACAACAAATGTAACTGTCGTGTAACCGACGCTTGTATCGGGTCTTTTATCTTAGATGTGACATGTTTAATATTTTTACTCCAACCGAAAGCTACCTATCTTTACACTAATTAGCACAATTGTAGCGAAATTAAATAATTAATGATTGGTATTGATGAATTCGTGAGACCGCACTAAACATATTACAACTAATTGCAGCTATTGTCCTTACAATTAACAGTAGAATTGTATCAAATCTTGAAGGATAATTTTCTTTTATGAAAAGCACAAAGACTTGTATCGGAGTTATTTGACTGTTGTAAACATTTTCTGTATAAAGTATTAAGTAGTTCATTTTTATACTCTCAAAACGAAAGTTAGATTATATTTTTGTAGATACTGATAAAACTTACGACTCATTATAACTTATAAGGTAATATTATTTTCACGTGATATCAAACGCCTTCATCATAATGATATAACTCGAATAAATTAACTTAATGTTGGTAAATACAATTTTAAAAATGACTTGGACGTTGGAATACAATAGGATAAAATAATCATCCGTACTCGTTATGGTGAACACCTTTTCCAAGCTCGCGAAGTATGATTATAATTAATTATACCTATCATAAGTCATTAGTATTAGGCCTATTATATTTTTAGCACTACATTCTTTATCTAGTCGCTTAAGGATTTTCAAGAATTAGACATGTATAATAGCATAACTGTCAACACTCACGCATATTGTGTGAGACTCGTGCATTTTGAACACAGATCACGCTCTTAAGCCAGACTGCTAAAATCTCACGATTATCAGCGTTTAATTTCTTTCTTTTTTTTATCATGTAATTTTCTTCGCAAAACTGTTAGAAGTGTCCTAGTCATTTACTTCGAATGTGCACGATGGGTAGCTAGGATAAATAACCAGTCTAAAATAGATAGTAGCTGCGTCGAGTGATTGGTTCTTTGTTCGCCCGATAACCAATGAAATGAGCTATCATATGCAATCAAGCGCGTGCCATTTGTTGTGAATCTAGTAAACAAGGTGAGTGAAAGAAGTTCGGTATCTATCAACATCAAAACAATCCAATGTGATAATATAAAGGTGCTGTAAAGTATAATACTAAATTTAATCCAGAATGGACAAAGAAGTACCCATGCATCGTGCTTGAATCGTCTAGTAAGAATTATTTTCGATACACAGTGTGTAACCATTCAGTCAGCTGCAAGCGCTGTTTGATATTGAAAAACACATTAACTTAAACCCTCACGAAAACTTGGAGAACATCAAGTCGTCATTGGGATCAATACTGAAAGTATTTGCTAGTCAAAATACCCTCAGCTATAAGGTAAATATAACTTTCACATGTAAAGAACGTAGTGGTCGATACTTAGGTCTAGACATATTCTAGGCCGGCCTACTGGTTCATCATATGTACCAGAAACTTCGTGTCGGGCGCAAGCCGCAAAGGATGAACCTAGTTGACGTTTCAAGACGTGTTAGGTTAACTTGATATATGGTTTGAAAATAATTGATAAATGAATAAATTCTAGATATTACATCAGATTTAGAGGAATCCAACAGAAGGTTAGGTAATGCCTGGAGATGTTTTGAATGGGTAATGAAGAAAAACTTTAATATAAGTTTAACATAACAACAAATGTACAACGTTTTGTCATCATCATGGTAGTTTTTCTTCATTACCCATTCAAGCCGTCGCAAAGTCATGTAGTTAAATAAATATTTTCCCGTAAATTTCAAAATAAAACGGAAGCCTAGCATGAAGAAATATGCAGAGAATATTGAAAAACTCGCCTAAATGAAATAATTTTATTAATTTTTACTGGTAACCTGATCAAGGGCTAGTGCCCTAAACGTTGTTTTCCTATTTTATTAACAAAATTATTTCAATTTGGCGAGTTTTCACCACTTTATATTCACTTTTTGGATTTTGTTATTTTCTTTCCTATGAAGTTATTTTATTACTAGAAATATGCAATAGGCCTGATGATCAGATACACAAATGATTACTTATAAAAAAAAATGAACTTGTTTAATGCATGTTTTTTTTTATTTTTACTTACCGAAAATGTGCATGTACTATATTGTATTTTAATTATAGAATTCATACCTATTAGGAAAATATATACTGCATATATTTATCAAAAATTTACAACATTCAAGGTGAATTCAAAGAATTTCCAAGTTTTGATGATGGTGTACTAATACTGTGGGGGATGGCATTTTGAATCATTGCTTTTGACTTGATTTTATGAACAAATAATTTACATACAGACAAGTGAAATTAGTTATATGATCAATCATATCAATGATAACATTTGAATCTATTTGTTCCATTTGATATTGTATTATCATATATGCACAACCCTCCTGTTGAAAAGCCACCAGAGATCTCCATTTAGGTTCTAAAAAATGCAAAATTCGTTTCTTGGTGGGGGCCTCTGCCCCCTCTTGGTCTCCCATCATGATTTTACCCTGGACCCTGGTTTGTTTAATTTTCTCACTCACTCGTGAGTTTTACAGGTTGACACCTATATAATAATAGTATTCCAAACACACTATGTTTGCAATATCCATTGATGTGTTTTTTCTCAATCCAGAGAGCTCACTTCACCAGACGGGATACAACAAATACAGTGGTGGTCAGAACGTTACAAATACAAGCCATTTGTTACACCATAACAATTGTTCTTGTAATAAGTGGCTTATATAAGTAGTGTTCCACTACTGTGTTTGTTGTGTCCCATTAGGCCCGATGAGCTCTGGATTATTATACACCACTAATTCTTCAAAATCCCTAAAGGACTAGATGAAGAATGCAGTGTTAATAATATAATAGGTCTAATACTAAGGACTTGTGAGAAGTATAATTAATTATCTGCACTGTTAATCTCCTGGATTATTCATAGAAGCTTGTTTGTAACTATCATTTCCTCGCTATCTAAAACACTTTTTTTAATAATAATTCTTGTAGGTTTTGAAGTGTAGTCCTTTACTCACCACTACTAACCTAAAATACTTTGTGTTTGATAATCAACTAATTATTCATTACTATTCAGCTGACTAACTGGTAATTTATTTGTGATTTTTTTTCTTATCCAAAAAATGTTACATCAGTGAAGAAGAATGTTTGGGAATGACGTACAAGCCAATCTCTTCTTTGATTTGCTATTCCATCTGCAACAGACTAGTTTTACCAAATCCACAGCTAAACAGTAATGCAAAATAAATAAATAAATCAGTTAACAACTTCATTCTCCATAATCTTCTGAACAAGAAAATTAGAAAATTACTTTATTTCTTTGCTCCATAGTTTTATAAATCCTCATTTATCTACTTCTCTGTCTCTCATACATTGATCTGTTTAATCAAAACAAAACAAAAAAAGAATTGGTAACCCTTTCTTCTCATCTTAATTTATTTATTAATCTCTCACCCTTTCATTAATGCATTACTTCATCTGTTTATCCAAAGTTGCTCTAACCACCTTCCTGTGCATACTTTTGTTCACGTGCTTCTTTACACATTAAATCTCCTGAAGATATTTTGGGTTAAATTGACAAACAAACTCTTATACTGTACTTTAATTAGTGATGCCATGGGGGACCAGTGAAACAAAATTATTCTTCCAACTACTCTTTTGTAGAATTAACTTCTAAGGGTAGACCTACCAGATTACTGAGGACAAGAAAATGGTTTTTTGTTTGTCGACTCCACAAGGGTAAGAAAAAATTGAGAAGCATCTGACATAAAAGTTATCAGCAAAATTATCAAACCCATTAATGAGCACATACTGGAAGGGGTGTTAACTCAAAAAGTAATAACACACTTCTTGTTTCTTAAAATTTACTTGGCTCATTCATGCTTGAACTAACTTATGGCTTAGTCTTTGAGATGTTACTGTAAATGTTCAGAAAAAAATTTGAAAATTTATTTTCTTGTGTTTGTATAAAGGTAGAGGTTCAAACTCGGATATTCTATATCAACAGCTGTCAATGAAGAAGCAGAAGCTGCTGTAACATAGTTTTAATTTCATTATGAATATTACAAACACCATCTTGAAACAAAAAAAAAATTATTTCTCAAGTCGGCATCTCGCTTGTTGCAAACATAGGTGTAGGAACCTTATTGGTTTATTCAGGCTTTAAATTTGGACATTTTTATACTTATCTGTGCTTTGGGTTTAATAATACCATCACAAAACAACCCCCAACTCCACCATCTTGTGATTATGCCATTCTAATATTTGATTAACGCTTTATGCCTGTTGATTTGAAATTTACAAACATTCAGCTGCTAAACCATTTTTTTACAAAAACTGTCACTCGTGAAGTATTCAGGTTCTGTATGGTTTCAGTGAATGATTCTTTATGGTTGACAAACAGTCATAAGTAATAAGTCTAAGTTTGGAAGGTAAGGGAAAAATATACAGTATGTCCATCATTTGAATTGTTTGTGTGTGAAACTACGAAAAGCTAGCTGTGAACTTCTGTGCTATTGCTCAAGTTAAACTAGAAAGAAGAGGTGAGAGTGTGAATATAAACTACTGTTGCTAAAGAAATCATTTTAGCATCTCCATCTGGTGACTAATGCAGTTACTTACGATAAAAATGGTTAAAAAATTTGTAAATCTGTTCTCACATCCAAAGTTTTAACATATTAACCCAGGACAGAGGTGGACTTAAATCATATGATCTCACATCGAAATGAGTAAACACCAACTAGATTTAATGTTAAACAAGACTGTAAGAGGGATGAATGTTAGAATTGATTTTGCTGAACTGGCACTGGCCCGAGAGAGAGACCTTCTCTAGCAATAAAATTTTAGAGAGTTACTTTATTAATCATACATTAAACTAATTTTCAAGTCTTTTCTACATTTTATAACGATAACAGCAAAGACTGACAAAAAGACATTTGTACACTAATGACATCTCGCTGCTGCCTAAAAACTAACATGTCTGTCAATGTCACAAACAGAAACTAAATAAAATAATTTTGTAGTAATTTCACATGTCAAGTTATCTTGATTTATAACTTAGTATACCCATCCTTCTAGTCATAAAAACAGCTGCAATTATTAACAAGTTCAATCTAGAGAACTTTTCCCCAGAACGACTTTCATTTCATTCTTCATAAGCAATTTAATCATAATCACAAGAAGGGACTTTTTTTTTCCCAGTATTGGAAGAAGCTTTTCTAATTTTTAAGGATGTGTAAGTGCTGTTACTGATGCCCACGAGCAAATTTGATTAAGACTAGAAGCTAACACCAGCACACACATAATAAATATATTTTTACAAACTCTTCAGAACATTGTGTATATTAAATTTTCACATCCTTTCTTCTTTAGAAACAAGTTTCTAATTCTTTGAAAATCTTTCAATAATTTTATTATTTTTTTACAAAATACATAAAAATCGCTTGTTTTCAGTATTTATGTCCCATATATTAAATTTAAAATTTATTGTATTTTCCTTTACTATATTTGAAAATGGAAAGAACTCACTCATGATTTTACCTCATAAGGCACATTCTGTAACCTTTCCGTGTTAAAGTGGTCACGTGACAACGAGCTGATATTGTATAATTAACAGCAGTGCAACAAAACAAAATCTGACAGGTTTCTTTTGGTCACAAACACTTAGATATCAGTGCAACAATACCACAGTTCCTTTCATTCACACTGTAAAGGTTAAAACCAAATTACATGAATGAAGCTACAAAAGTTTTCCCTGAAAGAAAAAACAACAACAACTAACTTTCATCCATGAAATATGAATCAATGTGTCACATACAAGATTAGAAGAATAGTACACACTCCAATCACGGAACCCAAGATAATGGAATCTCGTCGTTTGCGCAGGTTGATTCTCTGCACCAAGCTATTGATCATAGGGAATCGATCTGGAATTTCATTTAGGTCAAACAATCTTTCTGTAAGTTAACTTTGAAAAAACACAAAATATTTAGATAAAGCAAATTAAATATTAAACTTTTTACTGGTTTAAAATTTACAGCACTTCCATGCTATCCTCCGAGTTCAACACCTACATTTACAAATTTCTTGCAATTTCTTGTTGTATTCTATGGTATTGATGTAGTAATTTATGCCTTTTATTTATTCAAATGTATATATAAAACCTAAAAAAGAAATATTTTGTTTCATATCCTCCACATGCAAAATTTTTAAAGGCTTAGCAACCTATGTCAACCAGCAACCAAGTACAATGGTTGTAACAAGATGAGATAATGTTTTTGCTTTACTTCTTTATTTACTGTTCTATGTTTTAGAAAAAATATATTTAAGAACTTATTTCTAATTATCAATAATATATATACATATATAATGTATAATAATGGGAATGTGACTGTATTTTACAAAATACTAGTCTACTAAAACACAGCCAAGACCAGTTACTTTGTACAGACCAAAGGTCAGTTTTATGATATTTGATACGGTAACACGAGTGCACGTGAGCCTCATCATTGTAGCTTCTGTATTGTTAACCAGGCATAGGTGAAACGTCAATATAATAAAAATAATAAATGTATAATGTTATGAGATTTGAGCTATTTCATCTAAACATTTATGTTCATTCTAGAATGAAAGAGACATAATTTATGTTTATTTCCTAATTTTTATGGTAGTTGCGAGATCGTTCAAATCTACCGAACCCGTACAGAGATTCATTACTGAAGATAACAGATAAAATATAAAGTTTTTTCTTAAGAAACATTTGATAACTATCCAGATATTATAAGATTTCGCATGTGAAATTTCAAAATTTTCTGATGCATAAAATTATTTCTAATCTTAAAATGAAAATTACTTTGCATGATAGATAGACAAGATGTGAAAAGAAAAAAAAAAAGACATGTAAAAAACATTGCTTTATAAACCTTAAGACTTAATAAAAAAATTATATATTTTGCATTG